TAATATAACTTTTTAAATTCATACTCTTGATATAAAATCTTAGGGCGGTCTTTGTTTTAAATCAAGTTCAATCTTTGTCAGTTTTCTTTTTTGTAGTATAACAGTAATTATTTTATTTTAATTACCAAAAAAAGGGAAGAAGGTTGTGCCTAGCACGATGAACAAGTTTTGGATGGCTATTCTCTATTGAAACGGCTGCTTGAATCAAGAAGTTGTCACTTAATGGGTGCCTTGAAACGAAGCTGGAACTGTGTTGTCTTATGAATTTAAATTAGTTGGTATACTTAATTTCCATATAAAATTGGGTTTGGTTTGTGTACTTTAGGATTCTGGCTAACAGGCAATCCGCGGCTCGATCAAAGGAGAGGAAGATTCGATACACCAGTGAGCTGGAGAGGAAAGTTCAGACGCTTCAAACAGAAGCTACCAATCTCTCGGCTAAGGTCACAATGTTAGAGGTAAATACACCTTACGCCTCTCTGCTTTAGCTTACTGTATGCATCTAAAGAATGTCATCTTTTTTTCGCCCCCCCCCCCCCCCCAAAATGTGGATCCTTCTGATGCTTTCCAGGTTCATGCGCTCAAATGTTTTTTTTAATGTTAAAGATTGTAACTGCTAGTGACTGAACTCAACATAATTTTTTTGAGGGAGTCAATATATATATATTTTAAAATATTTTAATGTTTTTGTCATTGTAAATTGTATATCAAAATATCATACGAATAAAAAATTATAAATCCTTAAAATTCATCTGTTCATATAAAAATCTAAAGAAATAAATTAAATCGATAATAATATTATATAAAATTGTGCCTAAGTTTTTATTATGGAGATGAAAATTCATGGATTGACGTAATAAATATAGATACTTGAAATAAAACCATAAATATAAATAAAATTAAAAAATATTTGAAAAAATTACCTTTAACTGAAACGGAATTAAAAGTTGAACACTTAATAATTTGATTGAAGTTCTCAACTCATATAAGATGAACAACCAATCAGGAAAAAAGTACAAAAAATTTAATAAAATAATAATACAAAAAATGAATGTTGATTATTTTTAATAAATGATATGCAAGTAGATTTCAAATTTTAAAATGGTATACATTTTTTTTTTGAAATAACCAAATATAATAACTTATTATATGTATTTTTTAATAAACTTAAGAATTTAGTATATATATATTGAGTGATTCAATTCATCAAGTAAAGGGGCTTGAAAACTTTCCGGAGAGCTTTTTTTTTATAGAGAGAGAGGTGAGTAAGGGGCTTGCTTGCAGGCTGGCTCGAGTAAAGGGGCTTGCTTGCAGGCTGGCTCGAGTAAGGGGCTTGCTTGCAGGCTAGCTCGAGTAAGGGGCTTGCTTGCAGGCTAGCTCGAGTAAGGGGCTTGCTTGCAGGCTAGCTCGTGCAATCAACGAAGCATTCCTTCGCCTTAGTAAGCTTGCTAAGGTTCTCCGGGCACTACGGTAGGACACGGATCGATCATGACGAGAATGGACTTCTCCGTAATGTAATGTAATAGAAGAATCACAATTCGGCGACCAGACAAAGAGATATGAATTCAATTCGTCTGGGTCGGAGGCGCAAAGTTCATCATTCAGTGGTGGGGTCTTCATGAGCCTCACCCGCAGATTTTGATGGCTTGGATGCTAGGGGGGTCTGGATAGAGTCTCGCTCATAGAGGACGAGTGTGCGCTAGCGCGCTATAGGTTACGGATCAGATAGCCCTTCGGGCGCGTATCAAATTTCGAAATAAGTTTTATTTAATTTATTACTTGAATTTAAGAGAATTTTTTCGAAGATTGTTTTCTCAGCCTTTAAAATTACTTCTTTGTTGTGTAGATGCATAGAATTCTCTTCATTTGAAGAATGGTTTGAAGAATGGTTGAATGTAATATAAGGTCCTAGATTACTTTTTGTCTAATCTAATTAAGGTTGCCTGCTATGTTACTTAAACTTTTCCTTCCCTTTTTACCTAAAAAAACAAACTTTTCCTTCCTTTTTTTTGAAATGCCTATGTCTAGAAACATGAGTATGAGGATATGACCTTCAAAGATCCTCCATATAGAAGAAAAATGTGACGGTACCAATAACTCACATTCACATTTTCGCTCATGTTCGGTCCAAGTAACATGGGTTGGCCACTTTGCAGTTTCTTGAGGAGTTTTGTTCTATCTGTTATTTTTTATATATTGTTTTTCTGAGACAATTTCCTTGTATAACAATCATTGATCAATCCTTGAATAAGACGTGGAAAGAAAATTGATAAGCCTATGTTCTTACAACTCCTCATTTCCCCCCCCTAAATCATCCTTGTCAATCATCTATATCTCACACTTCTACGCGTTTTGGTATCCGGAACTTTACCTCAAGTAATATAGAAAGTAGCTGTGTACCTTCAACATAGAATATATCAGGTGAAAGTTTGCACACATCATCATGAACATAATGATGTGTTTAGTATTAGTAGGGTCCTATTGAGTTGTTTCTGCCGAAGTTGCTAACCTGGTAAACACCTGTTTTGCATCTTTGAGTGGGCTAATATTTGTCTACTGCCTCCACAGTGAAGGGAGCGAACCGATTCTGATATTTTTCTCCTACAATGCAGAGAGAAACTACTGGATTGACAACTGAGAATAAAGAACTCAAATTACGGCTAGAGGCCATGGAGCAACAAGCTCAGCTTAGAGACGGTATGGCATAATGTTTCCTTATTTTTGCATCACATACTGCAATTATACTTGCTGGTGGTGGATTAATGAGTTTGATTACATTGTTTTGACCATTTTATGATGAAATTGGTTAAAATATCAAAACTCTACCGTTTCATAGTTAAGTGATGCAGAATTTGGGGCTCATTCATTCATCGGTAAAGGACTTCATTGGGAAAGAATGTCATATTTTTGCTTCCGAAATCCATACGATTTTCACATACACTATAACAAATCTAGGTGTATGATAAAATTAGCGTTTATATTTTATGGTTTGAAGCTTTAAATGAAGCGCTGAGGGAAGAAGTACAACGCTTAAGATACAAGCCGGTCAAATGCCAGCTATGAATGGGAACTCTTTCAATGGCAGACTGCCTCAATTTTTCCCTCACCAACCATCTCCGCAGCACTTCAGTGGCCACCAAGCACCACAGCAGCAGATGCCTCAGTCATCCGCCAACGATGGGCAGCCACAGCCTCGCTTCATGTATTTTAACCGGGGAGCATAGTTTGATGTTGGAAGAAAATGCTCAGAAAACATAAGATGCATATCTTGTACAAAGCATATATCTACATGTATAGTAGGTTAGGGTTGTGAATGAGTGCTGATAGGATCAGTCTGTATCATAGGTTTCACATGACTTTATTATCACCGATAATAAGGGTAAGAGATGAATAGAAATGAGGGCTGAGATGATATTGACTTGATATACGAAGTATAAAATTCATACTCAGCAGTCTCTTTTTCACATTATAACAAATGCAACTTTGATTCTGAATTGAATATTACAACGAAAGATATTTTCCGTTTTTAGCTAAACCTGGCTTAATTCTAGAATCATTGAGGTCCAATATCATTATTGGATGCTACTAGATGTCTGACGTCAAAAAAAAACACAACATATTGTTTTTACGTATTGTAGGGTGATCAAATCTCGACTCAAAAAACTGATTTTTTCGACACGAAAAAACTTGACTCAAACTGAGTTCAAGTTGTAATTTCATAAACTCGACTCGATTCGGAAAAATTTCATATTCAAATCGAGTTACAAAATACAACTCGAATAACTCAATTTTTTAGAAAATAATAGATTCATTTTAAAGTTTGAATCAAGTCATTCGACTTTATATATATATATTGTACATATGGTTATAGAAAGTCATTTAAATTGAAATCAAATAATAATATTGTAAATATTTCAAATAAATTTAAACATAAACTCGAAAAATCGACTCGACTCGAAAAAATTTCAAGTCAACTCCGAGTTGTAAAATAGACCTCATCAACTCGAATAACTCGAAATTTTTTTACTCGACTCAATTCGATCAAACGTTCACTCCTATATGAAAGGATTTACCCGACCCTTTATGTCCTTACTCCTTACCCACTTTCTTTCCACCTACTTCAAAAGGAAAATATTAACATCAAACTCTTCACTTCTCTTCAAATACCACCAATATTTGATACCAGCTGGTACCCCAACACATATTTGGCATAGATAAAACTTCATCGTAAAAGAGCTGAGATAAAATTCCAGGACGACATATGTTGTTTTAACTCAAAACTCAAAAGATAGGAGTCTATTAAGTAATTAAATCTTAAAAATTAAGAGGAACAGGTATTATTTGACTGATATTTAAATTGAAAATGAACTAAAATTCCATTATACCAAAAAATTTGGTAAGGGCTCTTTGAGCAGTATCTAAATTATATTCAAGTTCTACCAAACTAACTGTAAGTAGTATCTAAATTAGAAGGTAACAATGGCTGCCCATCATATATGGACAACACTAATGACTTACCATACAACAAATGTTCACAATATAAAGACTCTTGAAGAATCAGCCGAACCATTAATACTCCCTTGCACACAACAATTATGCTAAAGGCAACCTCCAAATGCATCTTGAAGGATAGTTTTTTCTAGCATAATCGTATTATTAGCTTCATACTACTGAAGCAGACACTTCTCTATTCACCATGCATTGTCTTGAGGAACAGGCCTTATGTTTGCTTTTATTTGTATGCTTTGAATTTATTCTAATGTGGTAAATGACCAAATTCAAAAACAAATGAGATAATAGTAATAGTAACAATCATATGAACAAATATACTTTTTCCCCTTTCTTGCGTATGAACTTGCAAGTATACTTGAACTTGTACCAAAAGAATGATCTTTAGTGTTGGAACTAATATTTATGCTAATCTCCACTTCATACTTAAACTGCAATTTATAGATTCATTTGAATCTTCATTCTCTTATAAATCAACATGAAACCTGGAAATAGAGAAGGAAAAAAAGAAGATAAGAAGATGGAATACAGAGAGAAGAGTAAGAGTAGAGGGTTGTTAGAAACTTCAAAATATTTCCTTTCTACCATTACTTTGACTAAGGTCAACTATTTTAATTCTTACTTCCCACTGCCACCCATCCCTAATCCTGAAACCAATAGAAGAGCAATCTCTCAGCCAAAAGAATATATCTAAAGCACCATTCGAACTAATTCAGATCTCTCCAGCAGGAGCTTTCATAATACATCCTTGAAAAAACTACAACATCAAAAGGAACTATGACTTCATACTTTTGATTCCAAAACAATCATAAACAAAACGTTCCAATATACAATTAGCTATGTTCTTCTTAGCAATTGCACTATCTAACTAAAGTACAGATTAGTAAACAGCGACAAAAGCCATTAGTGTTGGCAATGGCTCATATAGTGATCTCGTAAGACTCCCTTCTTCCATTAGTTTCAGATAAAAAAACACTCAAGGTCTTAATCAAGCATTGAAAATAGTAATTAAAGAGCTGTAAAATTCTTGGGATTTTGTTTTCATCATAATTAACAAGTTGCATTGTCTAAGAACAAATTGAACATAATTCCCACTTTTGGCTCTTGAATCCCTGAGGTCTGGACAACAGGTTACAGTGTTTTTGATTCATTTCAGGAGAAGAACATAAACGAAAAACAACAATGATTCAAAGTAGCAAACATTGGAAGAACATACCGTGCACATTTAAGGAACCACAGTAGCCGAGCTCAAACAGTAATTCCTCAGAAAAGCTTGACCCCGTTTCCAGGCATGACATGAGGCACCCTCTCAATCCACTGCCATTCACAGTGATTCAAACGAAATACAACAATGATTCAAAGTCGTCCTGGTAAACAATGTAAGAACATTCTGAGCATCAATTTAAGGAACTGTAGTAAGCCGAGCTTCATAGGTAAATCCCCGGAAAAGCTCATCACCATTTCCGGGCACCCCATCAATCCACCGCCAGTTGCAGCAATCCCAGAGAGCCAGCCTCCCAACTTTCTTCCCGGAAAAGCAAACCCTATTCCCTCCTCCAAACACCTTAAATTTACTATCATGAAACAACTGGTGCATCGCCTCCGGCATCCTCGTTGCCTCTTCCCACTCCATTGTTTCCAGATCCAATCTCAATATCAAAATCGTCAAACCAGATTGGTTAAAGGAATAACTCGATTTTAAACCGCCAATCATCAAGATCTTGTTCCCGTTTCCAGGTACTAAACACGGTCTTTTCATTATATCAAAAATATCCCCCCATTCATGCCTTTCTAAACATTCCCAGTTATTGTTCATCACACTTAAATTTAAATTTAACAAGTTTTTGACAGCGCAATAGAATAATTTCCTCTTACTTCTCCACGGCGATCCGACATCGCATAGGGCGAAAACGGAGTTGGAAATCACGATGGGGCTTCTAGGTTTCGAAGGCAAATTCGACGAGAATTTGAGCCATTGCTGGGTTTTCTGAGAAAAAGAGAAGTAAAGAGCAGCGAGTTCAGTTAAGACTACGACTCGGTTCCTTGAGTCAACTAGCACCGAGCCATGGCGTGACCAAGCCGAGCCGAGCCGAGGGAGGACTCTGTATTTACGAGTCAAGGGGTTACACACGATGAGCGACTTGTTGGAGTCGGGTGAATCAACCCAGAGGTAAACCAGACCGATCGAAGACGCGACGGGGTGAGGAGATCTGAAGGGAAGAAAATCGAGGCTGAATCGAAACCATTGGTTCTGATCGGAATCGTAGACGTGGATACAGGAATGGATTGACGAGTGGAGGATGTGATGATTATGGTGGTGGTGCGGGGGACGGAGACCGAGGAGGTTGAGATGGGATCGGCTGGAGATGAGGTGCACAAAAGACGGTGAGGTCAGGGTTTGGTTAAAGAGCTTGCAAACGGAGCGGCAGATCATAATTTCGCGAAGCGAGAGGGAAGAGAAGATCTGGTGGAGAGTGTCTTCGGGGAGACGGCTGATCGGAGACGACTCCATTTTCGTGGACGCAAAACAGAGAACGGAAATATGATGCGAAGCAGGGAATCACGGGATTTAAAATGAAAACAACCAAACAAACAGGACTAGGGGTTTGGGGTCGCGTAAACAGGCCGTGTTTTATTTCCCGAAATGTGGCAAATGAGTCTCCGCCCTGTCACTTAGTCTCCGGTAGACCCGACCCGAACCTACATATGTTGATAATAATGTGCAATGATAAAATATTAACTTTAATTTGATATATAATAAAAGGTGTTTTTTCGAAAATTACCGGTGACCGGTATATTTATCGATCTAACACCGGTCAGATTATATTTTCTGATCTAACACCCTTAGCAGTAAAGCGTGCCCCTTCACCGCGTTATATGTTGATTTGACGCCACGTGGGGGTAAAGCGCTCCCCTGAAGCGCGCCTTATGCTGACATGGGTACACGTGTGTAAAGCGCGGCCCCTGGGGGCGCCTTACGCCACGTAGGGGTATAGCGCGAGGCAGGGGCGCGCCTTACCTTTAATTCTGATTTATATATAACGCGAGGTAAGGGCCACACCATACCTTTAACTGATATAATTATATAAGGCACGGTACAGGTACATCGCCTTGTAACTTTTCCCTATAAATACCTTTTTCCCCGATTAAGTTCCTCACATCTCTCCTCTCAACTTATAAATTAATACAACAATTTCGTCAACGAGTCAATAATTCTGACAATTTTCTCATATTTTATTCAGAAGTTCGTTCGATTTTTCGTTATAAGGTAATTTTGTGATAAATTTTTTATTATATTTATTGTTTATTATGATTATTTGAAAAAAATATTATACTAATTGTTGTCAATTAATTTCTGTGTTTGTAAAATTAGAAAGCGAGAATATACGTCGAAATAGTTTTGCGGTACAGGTAATAATAAAATTATATTATTAAATTATTTACATTTATGTAAAATTTTATTCTGTTATATTTTCGTTCATATATTATTTAATCAACATTGTTTCAGTTGTTCTTTTTGCAGATATAATATTGCCGCACTTTTAAACTCAAAGAATGGCGCGACTTTCAACTATTGTTTATTATGATGGTGAAATTCGAGAAGATGAAATCGGCGTTGTTTTCGTATCAAATGAGCGTGTTAAAATATCATTGAAGAGAAACATAATTCTTGAGGAGCTGATAACGAAGATTTCGAGGAAGATTCATGTTGGAAGTAGTAGAAGAATGTCGTCGTTGCAGTACAGATTTCCAACATCATTGTTGTCATTAACTTATACAACGTTCGAACTTTTGAACAATGATGATGTTGAAATGATGGTTGAAGCTCAAAGTAATTATTCAGACGCCGATATTGAGATGTATGCAAATTTTATTCAAGTGTGTGTCGTTCGGGGTCAATCATTAAGCTCCTACTATGGGCTGGCTGAACAAGTTGACAGCCGACGACAGTAATGTGTAATGATTTTAATGCCATAATGGGGAGACATTCATCCGCAACTCCTTAAGATATGTACCGAGGTGGGTCGACGAACAATCCGTATGGCAATATCGCGTCCAGTTCAAGGGGAAGACATTCATCTGCAAATCCGTTTGACCTTAATATGGAGATGCCATCGACGCAACCATCTGTGCAGTTTTCATTTGACACGATGGCTTCAAGCTCTAGGGGGAGGCATTCGACTGCGAGCTTTTTCGATCTCAATTCGATATGCCTTCTAGTTCAAGGGGAAGGCGTGCAAGTAGTAAGTTCTTCGACCTAAATGCGGAGCGCATAGAGGAACCATTATCTACACCAGAAGAACCGCTTCGTGAGCCTGGTGCGGATAGTGCTGAGACTGGACTATTCATTCACCCAGAATCACCGCAATTCAACTCCGATGATGATGAAGTTCCAGGAAATGTGGCACAAACTGACCCTCCTGCACACATGTATGAAGCTGATTATGGTGCAATGTACGAGCCAGAATTTGCAGATATGCCTCATCTCGGTGACTATGGATATTACCCATCAATAAATAATGGTGAGTTATCTTTAGGCATGGAGTTTCCAAGCAAAGAAGAAGCGGTGATGGCTATAAAAAATTACAATATCCGTAATTATGTTCAGTCCAAAGTCAACTGATCCACGACCGAAAAATACATATTCTACTGTTCACAACGCGAAAACGGATGCAATTGGATGATTCGCGTATCGAAAAGGAAGAGGAAAAACAACATATGAGAACTAACAGTATACACCGGTCCTCACACATGTTGTGCTGGAGGGGTCAACCAAGATCATCCCAACTTGGACTCTGAAGTGATATGCCAAGCCATCATGTCCATGGTAAAAGCAAGCTCTCATATAGTTGTTGCTGTGTTGATTTCAGCTATACAATCGCAGTATGGGTACACTGTCTCCTTTAAAAAAGTTTGGTTGGCAAAACAAAATGCCATTGTCAAACTTCATGGTGAATGAGATGCATCTTACAACGAACTTCCAGGCTGGTTTAGGCTGGTACGGAGGTTAAATCATGGGATAATTGTGGACTTCGAAACCTCCTATGCATACCATAATGATCGAGTTCTCCGCGATCGATGCCAATTCTACCGGGTTTTTTGGACTTACCCACAGTGCGTTAATGCTGTCAAATACTGCAAGCCTGTGGTCCAGATCGACGGGACTTTCTTGTATGGAAAATACAAGCAATTTTTATTATTGGCAGTTGTCCAAGATGGCAATCGTAACATTCTTCCAGTTGTCTTTGCTCTTGTTGAAGAAGAAGATACAGATTCTTGGGCTTTTTTCCTCCGAAATTTACGTGCACATGTTATCACGAGGGGAAAACATCTGTGTCATTTCAGATCACGGAGCTGGGATCAAAGCAATAATGGAGTCTTTAGGTCCAATGTGGCAACCACCCTTTGTCCAACATAGGTATTGTCTCCGACACATTACTGCGAACTACCATGGAAGGTACAAGAAGAATGATTAGCGTCAATTAATTGTGTGCATGGGTAAGTGAAACTGATGTAGTGTGTTTTCTTTTCGATCGTTTTAATTTTGCAAAGAAAGAAAGTTAGTAAGTTATACATTTTTTGATCAGGTTACGAACAACTTCCTCAAACATTTGAATTAATGCTTCAAGATTTGCGGGCGAAGAACGAGGAAGGATACGATTACATCAGCCTCATCGATAAAGAAATGTGGACGAACGCATATGATGGTGAATATCGATATGGACACTGACGACCAACTTGGCAGAGGCAATCAATTTGACCTTAAAGGGTGCACGTCACTTACCAGTAGCGGCTTTGGTAAGATTATTTTTCGTTTGGGGGCGCTTTTTGCGAAGCTCGGGGACAAGCTCAAACCTGGATGCAAGGCGGTCATGTCTATCACCCTAGATTAGTTGCAGATCTACAGAAAAAAATTTCTGTATCAAATGGAATGTCTGTAACAAGCTTCTCTAGAAGGCATGAAATGTTTCGTGTCACAGAGTTGCCGCGACCTCTTCAATGGATTGAAGCTGTGTCGTTAAGAGTAAATCTAAAGGACAGAACGTACGACTGCAGGTTTTTTCAAGCTCTGAAGTATCCATGCTCTCATGTGATAGCAGCTTGCTCGCATACACGTCAAGACTATAACCATTTTGTGAATCTCGTATACCTACTATCTGAAGTTTTTAAGGTATATGAATTTGAGTTTCTCCCCATAGGTAATGATAAAGACCCCGATGAGGTTCAAGATTGGCTTCCGATTGTACCAAATCCGAGTTTATTGAGGGAGCGTGGTCACCAAATCCAATCGAATTCATTGCGATATGGATATTCGAGAAAGATTCTAGACAAACAGAAGATGTGGGCATTGTAGAAACCCATGACACACTAGAAAACCATGTTCACTTCTGTTGCCATCAAGTAACAATTGATGAGGAAATGATGTATTTGTTTATCAAATAATAATTCTTGTACTTCAATTTGCATTTATTTCAAGTTAATGTCATTCGATAATCTCTGATGAAGATTAAAAAAATGATACAATAATACGAGATTGAACATTTACGTTATATGTGATTATAATAAAAGATATAATAGTGAAAAACTTAAGAAAGTTATCGAACACAATCATAAATTTTATCAAACTGATTACAATTTGGTATTTCAAAATAATTTAAATACAAAAATAAAATATTAAATTAAATGATAACCGATTACAATAACTGAATTAAATGATAATAAACAAAATTAACTGAATACATTAAAAAACTCCAACAAATTTAACAAAATAAAGTAAGTATTAAATGAAAATAAATAAAAAATTACAATTAAAAAGTCCAATAAACTAAATACAAATATATTAAAAAACAAAATCTATCAATGCCTGCGACGCGAATGTGTTCCGCAGGGAGGTGGCTGTCGGTCTCGAGGAGGATTTCTTCGTATTACTAGTTGTGACTCCTCGCTGTCATCATCATCACCATCATCATCATCGTCGTTGTTGTCCTGAGTAGGTACATGAGGAGCTGATGACGATGAAGCACCTCCATAGAATAAGGACCCTGGAGGTGTATGACTGACTATCCCACCGGCCTACGAAAACTGGGAAAACTCATAAACCCCAGACATCGCTGAGTGTGAAAATTGTACAGGAGGTGTCTGTGCTACGACCATAAGTGATGAGGCTGAACCCACCAAATATCCAGTATATGAACCCCAAGTCGTATCTATAAATATAGACCAATAATAGCCTCCAAGAGGGGTCATTTGTGACGGTGGCGGCGGCGGGGTCATAAAACCAGGTGATGGTGGCAGCGGCGGTATCGAGTAAGGGAATGGTGGCGGCGGCATCGGGTAAGGGAATGGTGGCGGCGGCATCATATATGGCTACGGTGGCTGCTGTGAAGGTCCTTTGGTGCAGCTGAGGATGAACCGGAAGCACCTGCTCTCCGTCCACGAGTCGTGGGATGATGGTGTTGTGTCGGTGAACGTCTCTGTCGACGTCGCGGAAAGGTCTTCCCTCGTGCATCCTCGGGAAGCAGAAACGATTTCCCGTTACTGTTGAACCACTCGTAATAACCCTTAGCAACCATCAAGAGG